GTGTCCCACAAGAGTGTCCTACAAGAGTGTCCCACAAGAGTGTCCCACAAGAGTGTCCTACAAGAGTGTCCAACAAGAGTGTCCTACAAGAGTGTCATTTGGACATATTAGTTTTTCGAACGTGTTTGCATTCGGGTTCGTGGGTTCCATCTTGTTTTTTTGGGGGGGGGGAATTCGAGAAGAGAGACATTTTCAAGAGAGGTGTTGAAGGAGGTCGTGTCAGGGAAAGGAGGGGGTTGACAGACTATCAAGGGAATTGGGATGAAGCTGTGCAGCTGCCGGTGAGCTGTCGGGTGATCGGCAAGTTCGAACTTGGCCTGTGACACGCCACGAGACGCCGACAGGGACAGGGACGTCCGTGTTCACATCTGGTCCTGGTTGGACCTTCGTCAACAGCTGAGCCGCGGTGTCTTTCATGTTCTTTTGGAGCCACCGCTGTCGGTGTTTTCGGCGGTGCTGTACGACGATCAGCGGTGCTTCCGCCCGGATCGGCCCGGATCGGCCCCGTCCTGCGCAAGCGTGGTTGCGGATGAACAGATCCACTGGTCGTGTAGCCATGGATGAGGAGACCTTTTTGAGAGTGGCGCATCCATGCTCAGTCCGTTCACTAAGGATTGAATGGCCTGGTGAAGATGACTTCGATGGCTACATCGCCTATGCGTCATTTTCCAAGGCTAACTTGGCCATTTGTTGCGTCTGCAGTTGGTGGTCTACAGATGGGGTGGTTTTATTTGGTGGAGGGTTTTGGGCACACTTGCCCCTTTTTGTTACTTTGAATGAGATCTATCATCACTCCATATCTCACAATAGCACTCACCCGCTGGTATCTCTGCGTTTTGTGGTGTCTGGTTTGTTGGGAAGTCCAGCTCGGCCAGTGCCGGGTGTTTTCGCTACATCTGTCAAAACGACTACCCAATCTTCATGAAGGGTTACCCTCCAACAATCATGGAAGTAAAACTAAACCTCTTTCTTGAAGGGTCCAGAACCGCCTGGCCTCCACTTACGTCCTGTTCACCTCCATCCGACCTTTGCTGCGCAGAAAACAGACCGACCAAGCCAGGTGGATTATCGACAGGCAGAAGGAAAGGTCTGCATCCTCTACGGTCACGGCGCTTTCACCATCGAAAACGTGCCTTGGACCATTTTGTCTCCGCTGTGCAGGACACATCGAGGCAAAGAGAGGCTGCACAGCTGTCGATGTGCTCCAGCCCAAGCTGAGTCGGACCATGATCCTGTTTGTACTTCACTATATAGTTCAATAGTGCATCTCACGAGTTCGGGGGCCGCTCAACGACTTGGAACAGAAGACTCATGACGTTTTCCACCGATGTCCGAACACTCATCGGAGCAATCTTCAGGTGCGAACGCTCTGCGAGCACAAGTGCAAGAAGGTGATTGTGATGTGCCGGAAACGTGCCAATGGCGAAGTTTCGTCGTGGGGGTGGTGGTGATTTGGATGTTGGGGTAAGGAAAGCTGTCCCCAAGTACGAACCTATGGGAAACAAAGACAACTCTTGGCAGAGTCTTCACAAGGAGTGTTGTTTTGGGTTCTCTCAAAAACAATCTTTAAGATGTGTGCTAACAATGTGTGGTCTTGGGCGCGATTTTCGCAATGAAAACTGGTAGAGGGGCTGAAGGCAGCCGCCTTTGATACTCTGCCAGGATGCTGGAGTATCATGAGAGTATCATGACACCCATTCATGATGACATCATGATGGTTTGCTCTACATCGATAGTCAGTGTTTCCTTCGGAGCAACTGCAGGGACCTCCCTTGATAACTGGATGGAAGGTGGGGCGGGGGCCAAGCCAGAAGTCCCAAAAAGGTGAAAGAAGGTCACTATGTCATTTGGAAAACATCATAAAATAGGAACGAATTTACAGGCTTCCAGGATTTGTGCTTCCAGAATCTCATGTGCTTGGGTTTTCGGAAGATCACTCGAACAAGCATGACGCGGTGTGCAGATTTGTATCATGGCAATTTTTCAATCAGCCCGATCCAAGGCAACCTCTGCGGAATGCGGGTGATGTCTTGGTTGGTCGGCTACTTGGAAATGCCTTTGCCTGGCAATATCTTGCTGGAGGCACGGGATTTGGTGCGGAGCAGACAGTTGAATTGTCATTGAAAAGGAGCCTTTGCATTCAATTCATGTCCATCTTCCTCTTTAGATCCAAAGCTCTTGCGTTTCGCTCGCTGCAGTCTGCAGCTGCGCTGCAGCTGTTGTGGCCCAAACTGCCCTTTTCCGCGGCCGCTTGTGGACCTCGTGGACCTCGTGGACCTCCGCCATGGCGGCGGTCGGGACGACCGGAGATGACTCCAGCCCAGGCACCGGAGAGACTTTGGGCTCAGCGCCTGAGGAGCCATTGCCCATGATCACGATGACCACCTGCCCGTTTCGGCTCAATGATGAGGTTTTGAAGCACTATCAGCTGACCAAGGACTGAGGACTTGGATGAGGACTTTTGAACATTTTTTGAACCAAAGACATCACGAAAGGAAAAAGGCTTTTGCTGGACCAATGCTTCAAAGTAGCAACCCTGTGGCCCCTCATGGCCCCTGCAAGGTTGAGGTCTCATTGCGTGGAGTATCCATGTCACATGACCGGCCGCTTTTTCCTTCTCTAGGAGATTGGCAGAGGTGCGTTTGGATCCGTCTGGGAGGCTCAGGATCGGGAAAAGCCTGATCGCAAGGTGGCCGTGAAGAAGATGCTGATCACGGACGGGGAGCAGGCAGAGGCCTTTGAGAACGAGGCCAAGACCATGATGAAGCTCCATCACAAGAACATTTGCCGACTGTTTGAAGTGTACAGGAAGGGTCGGTTGATGTCCTTCATCATGGAGCTGTGTCCAGGCAAAGATGTGTTTGATGCCATGCACGAGCAGGAGGAGCACACCTTTGGAGAGGCGAAGGTCGCTGACATCATCAAACAGGCGAGCAGCGCCTTGTGCTATGCGCACGAGAATCGGGTCGCTCATCGGGACATCAAACCGGAGAACATGGTCTTTGTGAACCAGGATCCATCCTGCACTTGGATCAAACTCATTGACTGGGGGTTGGCCTTCCATTTTGGGAATCGGAGGCTCAAGACCGTCGTGGGCACTCCCGGGTATTGTGCCCCCGAAGTGCTGCAGTCTGGCACGTTTTTCAACTCGAGCTATTCCCAGGCCTGCGATATATGGAGTTTGGGCATTACGACCTATGTGATGCTCTGTGGAAAGATGCCCTTCTTCGGCGCTCAATGGCAGCAAGCGAAAATGATGAAGAAGGAACAATTCCCCATGCAGGACGCCACTTGGCAAGCCATTTCTCCCGAAGCCAAAGACTTTGTGAAGAGTTTACTTCGATTTGACCCGAAGAAGCGGGCCCCCTTCGACAAAGTCCTCAAGCACCCCTGGTTCACGGTGCACAGACAAATATCGGAGATCTCAGCGCAAGCGGCGCAACAGGTGTGGCTTAAACCGTTTAAGTTTAAAATCTGGTGAAAGTAAGCAAGTGGTATGTGGTCGAAGCTAAGTAGGCCTTGAACCTTGCTTCAAAATGCTTCAAAACCACCTGGAGGTGCTACGGAACATGCAGAACTTCTCCCAGCTGGGTCACTTCCATTCCATTTGTGTGGCGGCAGTGGCCAGGCAACTGGACAGCCACAACCTCAACGACGTGCATCGGATTTTCTGCAACCTCGACCGGGACGGGAACGGCGTCCTCACCTTACAGGAGGTGAAGGATGGCTTTGAGAGCATTTTGCACCCCGACTCGGAGGAGGGAGAGCTCCGGTGTTGAGTGCTTAAGCAGGCGCCCGGCCTGCTAAGACTTAGCCAAGTAAGACCCTTTGACTGTAGAGTCATTTTCTTGGCGTCTTGATCAGTGTGTATTTGGTAAAATACAAGCCACATCCTAAATTGTGTTGGCAAAGTACCCACGACTCTCAACCGCCATGACTGTGGACTCTCAACGCTGCGAGAACGCGGCAGGAGATGTGTCTCCCAAACGCATCACCCAGGGTGGTCGTCCGAATTGGGAAGAGCGTCATCTTCTGTATAGTAGTCTTCTAGTTTCTGAACACCTCCCCGCTTCGCTGTGTTTCTATTTTGCTTTGCTGATCACATGTATGTTGCGCTGTGCTTTGGAGCGCACTTGGGTGGAGTTGTTTCTTTCTTGCTTTGTGTCCTTCAAAGTGTTCCAGAGAATGATTTGCTGCATTCACGTGGAGGATACATGGGCACACGTCAGCCGTCACCCGCGTCAGCGGAGGGCCGCCGTGAAACCGCTGTCAGACAGGTGTGGGAATGGACGTTCCAGGTCGGCACATGAGGAGAAGTCTAGGGAGTCTAGGGTTTCTCACCCGCTTTTGGCGTGGAAAACCCAAAAAGCTCTCTCCTGGCCCGACCCCCCGCTGGATGGATGGGTTGAGCGAGCCAAAACGGAGGCAACGAAACATGGAGCCAGATGAACTCCATGGGCCCGCGGGTCGGCATTTTCGGACTGGGCTTTGGGAGGGAGCATTCATAGCTCTGTCGCTTCCAGTAAAGTGGAGGTGTGACTCCGTAAGTTCGATCCTTCGAGTGAAAAATGGGAGGAGTTGAAGCAGTTGGAGCGGATCTTTGCTGAGTTGGACATGGATGGCAATGGCTACATCGACTACACCGAGTTCTGCGCGGCCGGCGTGGGTGAGCGTGTGGTGCTTGAGGACTCCGCTCTGTGGGCGGCCTTCGACTCCTTTGATGCAGGGCACCACGATGGGCAGATCACGTTGGATGAGATCGCCCGGGTGCTGGCCGATGCCAATGTGCAGCAGGTGTGGTCCAAGGAACAGCTTGAAGAGGCTGCGAAGAAGGCCTTGGATAAATTCGACAAGGATAAGAATGGCAGCATCACCTTCGAAGAGTTCTCGGACTTCATGAGGGCCGAGACGAAGGCCCGCCGGAAGGCGCGGGCCCGACGGTCGAGCCTCTTGGGGGACATGAGCGAGGAGACTGAAAAGATTGAGGAAGAACTGGCAGATGTCACTGACGTCTCCATCAAAAATCAAGGCAAGGTGTACGACTTGGTGGATCAGATGAACCCCGAGAGGAAGTCCTGGCGCAAGTGGCTATGGACAGGGTTTGTCTGGATTCCACTGCTGTGCTGTGTTTTCACTAGGATTTGAGAGATTCGAATTTAGAGACCTGGGTGTTTCAAACATGAAAACGGAAGCTCCAGGCTCAGAGTGATCAGTTGAACCCTGAGGAACACCATCACCTGCAGCTTGGGCGGTCGGGTGGGAGTTCCCACGTCCCTGCCATCTGCACCTGCAGATGTCGACGATTTTGCGGCGCAGCCTCGCATCTAGGAGAGAGCGCTTCTCACCCCTTTTAAACCCAACGGTGTCAGACATAAGATCATGACCGACCTCGGTTCCGACCGGCCAATTCATCGAGCGTGTGAGAACAGTCGACCGAGGTCTCTGTCAAAAAGCGGACTGATTGGACCGAAGGGACGGAAAGCAGATACACTCCCGAAAACTCACCTGGAACTGAAAAAAAAACCTGTTTGTAGATGTTTGTAGTGGATTTCATGGTCTTCCGTTCGGGGCCATTCTCCACTTCCATGTTAGTTCCAGGGAGTGTATGTCATGATATATGTTTCCAGCCTGTTTTCGGCTGATATTCGTCCCAGGTTGTGACGTTTGATGTTGCAATTGGCAGCAATAAAGCCCTTAGGGTTTTCCAGGATGCATCCATTCATCATTAGCTCATGTTGAAGCGAGGAGGGAAAACCACATGTGAAGAGGGGACATGGATCGTCCAGCTGCCGACTGTTTGCTTCCAAAAGCAATGGACTTTAAGAGTCACTGCAAGAATCGGGATAGGTACGACATTTGATTGGTGACACGTTGATGAATTCCTCGGTGGTGATCATCAAAGCCCACTGACTACCCAGGGCGAAACAAGTGGACTTGTGGGCATGAGTTCCGAGCCAGCCAAACAGCTTCATCACTTTCGGAAGTGTAGTGCTGATCCTGCACCGGAAGAGCCAAGAAGAGAACCTGTCCATCCATTGTAGAGGGTTCATTCTTGGCACGGCGGGGTCCACGCTGCAGGGCATGCAGAAGATGTATGACCTCGTAGGTGTGGGACCCTAGCCCAGCTGACCAAGTTCCGTGCCTAACACAGACACACACACACACACACATGCACACTTATGGAGATGCGTGCTGACTTGACAGCGGTGCCACACACCACCTAAGAAACCCAAATCCTGAAAGGTCCAGGAAAGCCCTAAAGAGCCTGGGGGTCTTCAATAGGAAGTGAGGCCCAAAACGTAAGCCGGAGTCGGAGCGACAGGTTGACGTCGTACGTGCACATCTGCAGATGCATTAGACCTTTACCAAAGGTTAAAAACTTGCAGGTACGCCGAGTTGATCAGACTCGGTATCCCGTGATTGTGGTAGCTTCGTTGAGTGTGGTCCCACAATCACGCCGCACTCCCCTGCTCATTGGAAAAGGAGAACAACTCAATAGAATCCCTGTGACTACAAGGGGCACACGCACACGCCTCCCCAAGGGGAGGCAAAAAATTAAGGCTAGGACAACTGTGTAAATGTGCGCGCAGCAAAGACAAGAGGATGAAGACATGAGAAGGAAGACGAGACGGGACAAAAGTGTGTGTGGTTGCGATGAAAGAGAAACCAAGTGCACAGGGACAACCGATGAAACCCACCTCATTGTCAAGACCTGGGCGACCTAACACCTGAGTTGAAACTAGATGTGCGCGTACACACTAAGGCCCGGACCGTTGTACGCGCAAAAGAGCGAAAGGAGTGAGATGAAAGGACATGAAGCAAGGGAAGACATGAAGAGAAAGAGGAAAAGAAGTGTGTGAAGGGGAAAGGGTGAAAGGGGAACCAAATGGAGGGGACGGGAACCGATGAAACCAGACCTCATTACAACAACCTAGGAAGACCTGCCTCGTTAAAGTGTGTACGATGTATGTGCACCTAAGTGTCCGACAGGTTCCAATGAACCTTGAACAAGCTTCGGTCGCTGCGACCACGTACGGCATGCCCGAGGGCGGCCACCTCTGACCGCTGCGGTCACGTAAAGGCATGAGCCAACTTGGGATTCCAAAGATGGGACAAACATCCAAATTCTTGTGGCGTAAGCCATCTGCTGTCCGCTCCGGACGCCTACGTTCCCAAAGCCGGGGAACATGGACAGACACCCGTTCGACGGGTCCACGGGAGGCACTACGGGCTCATCCCCGACTCTCACTGGGAGAGACACACTTATGGAGATGCGTGCTGACTTGACAGCGGTGCCACACACCACCTAAGAAACCCAAATCCTGAAAGGTCCAGGAAAGCCCTAAAGAGCCTGGGGGTCTTCAAGAGGAAGTGAGGCCCAAAACGTAAGCCGGAGTCGGAGCGACAGGTTGACGTCGTACGTGCACATCTGCAGATGCATTAGACCTTTACCAAAGGTTAAAAGCTTGCAGGTACGCCGAGTTGATCAGACTCGGTATCCCGTGATTGTGGTAGCTTCGTTGAGTGCGGTCCCACAATCACGCCGCACTCCCCTGCTCATTGGAAAAGGAGAACAATTCAAAGGAATCCCTGTGACTACAAGGGGGACACTCTGACATTGGTTTTCAGTTACACTCAATTCCCAGGTAGAATGGCGAGGGAACGGAAAGGTGAGAGGGTCAGTGCACTTGTATGGTTTTAACAATCTGTTGACATGTCTGCGGTGGCGAACATCAACGCGGCTCAGCTGCAGGACAAGCGGCAAAAGAAAAGGTTTGTGGGAAGTATCATGCAAACCACCATGAAACAAACCGCGGAGAAGTAGGGTGACAGCTTGTGAAGCACTCTGCAGGTACATGGTTGAGCGTCCTCAACCACTTCCCTTCCAGTGACCCAGCTTCGTTGGATCAGGTTAGTCACTGGAAGCCTGATCCCCCTGCTTGTGAAACGGTTGTGAAGGTGGAGGTGATGGCGAACCCTTGGCCCAGGGGTTGACACACACACACACACCTCCCAGAGTTTGGAGGGGCCCAAGACCATGATCTCTAGATTTCTTCATGTCTTCTGGTTCTGTTCGTGCACCCATCGAGTCGGCGTGAACGAGTTCGTGCAGACTCGACGTCTTGAGGATTCGATTGTTGGTCCGCTCACTGTGCCTTCACCTTAGTTGTCGGTTTCGTGACCTGTGCAGTTCGTGGCAGATTGAAAGAAACAGTGACAGGCCATGTTTGCATGTTCCGAAAACCGAACGTGAGCGTAGCTTCGGTGCCGTAGCCTTTCAGGTCAAGACCGACGACAAGCGCAGCTTTGCACACGTGTCGCAGAAGACGGCCTTTGGTGTCACTCGGCATCGGGCACGTTTTTCGGCGCGGCGCGAGACCCTCGCGGTGCAGCACCTGCGGCAGCCCCCTCTTTTTGCGGCTGTTCCGATGAAAGGTGGGAGTTTTCTTCCCAAAGAGCCGGCGAGTACCCTGGCTTTCCACTACTATTGAACTTGCTTTTCAGGGGCTCCTCACGAGATCTTTCACATGAGATGGTATCTTTCACAGGATATTTTGGAGATGGGGATGCTGTGGAACTGACTCTGCAATGTCAATATGAAACATGATATAAAGTATCATTACTACATATATAATCTATTATATACGGTATTGTTTTGACCATTGTTGGTGGTCGTCACTTGACCTTTGGCGGGGCCCAGAATCGGTGTCTTGTCAAACGAAATTGCTTTGAACTTGGGGACCTCTTCCCAAGCATTCTTTTGGACTGTTCAGCATTCTTTCAGGGTTGGAATGCCACTTGCAAACCAGAAACGGAAGACACAAAGTATGAGACAGCTGGAAAAGCCATGCAATCATATCATGCAATCATATCGTTTTTCAGCAAACCATTCAACATTGTGTGCTGAAGAATCGAGCTATCTAATTCTATAGTTTTTTTCTTTGTCTTGACGCCAATCCGTGCTTTGGGGCGCCAGGTGCCAACTGGTGGGTCAAATGATTTGGACCCAATCCAGGGAAGTTGCCATGGGCCCCTGTTGTCCAAGTCCGAAAAGTTCCAGGGCGGGGGCGGTCCAGATCCCGATCTAGCGAGAGACACAGGAGCGGTCAAGCACTTTTTGGAGTGCGTTCACCGGTTTTTGGGGGTGTTGACACTTCTATGTTTCAGCATGTTTCGGGCCCACCTGAGGGTTCCACTAGGTGGGCCCGAACCAAAACTGCAGGGGCGTTGGTCACGCTCGAACACGGGGGTCTGACTTCGTCTAGTGAGGTGACTGACGTCTACTTCCTGGCGGGCTACTACGGCCTCATGGAGGTGCTGGTGGATGAAATCAAACGCTTGACCACCAACGGATGCTTGGCGGATGCTGGCGACTTTTTTGCGGAGACAGAGAGACAGATGGGGGCGATTTTTCACAGAGCAGGTGCAGACATGCAGATGGGAGACCTGAATCTTCTACGTCGCTACGCTCGAAAGAGGAGGTATCTTCATCTTTAAACTAGACATGTTCAATCACTCTTGTGTATGACGAGGCATGCAGGAACGTCTGCTCTGGGAGGTGTTCGGAAGTTGCTCTCTGTTGTCAGGAGGATGCTGTTCGATGATGTTTCGAGACGAGCTCGCGCCGAGACGAGCCGAGCGATGGCCGAGGTGCACAGACCAAGAAAGGCAAGAAGATCAAGTGCGAAGTCATCCTGAAAGCTGTGTCTCGGCATGTCTCTGCTCACATGGGTGGTGATCAAGAACGGTCTTGGCTCCTTTTGGAACCTATAGATGTAGACGTCTGATCAATACCCCCTATTTAAATCGTTGTTATTAACCAGCAGTCTACATCAAGACATCGTTCTTTCTTCACCAAAGTGATGCTTGATTCCCGGGCACTACTTCACTTCGCTTCACTTCGAGAGGAGGCCATGATCCACCTTGAATCGGCAACAAAAAGAATCATATACCTTCGAAGCGTTGTGGCCTCCGATGGCGGAAGGTGATGGGGAGTCGGGACAGACTCGTCGAGTTCGAGCACCTTTCAAGCGGGCCACGGCAGTCAAGCGGACCAACATCCACATGAGCCAAGTGAGGCCCTCTCTAACCGCTCCATTGCCAGGGTTTCGTGAAACCTGACGTCAAGGTTGAAACATGTTGAACTCACGAGATCACTGGCTCACTCGGCTCGGGCCATCATGTTCCCAACACGCTGACTCGGGCCATTTAGAAAAACACACATATATATATATATATATAATATTAATCTGATCCTTCCGGTGCTTCATTCGGTCGAAAGTCACTAGACTCTAGAGGAAATCCTGGTTCACTTTCCCATGTTAATCTTCCATCGTCTTCACTCTTCCTTTGGAATTGCTTAACTCAAATTTTACAGGTTTGTCATTAAACCTTCACCGCTTTTCTTTCGTCCGTTCCTGAAACACCAGGTGGGTGTGATGCCGGACCCGGCGATTGACAAGATGTTGGGCCTCAAGGCGCCACGAGCGATTTTTGTTCTCGTTTTTGGGCGGTGTTTGTCTTTTTCTTCGAGTTCTTCCACGAATCTGCCGCAAGCCATTGCCGCAAGCCATTGCCGCAAGCCATCGGGAGAGGTGCAGAGGTGCAGGTGCTAGGTGAATCACCAAGCATGGGTTCGAGGTTCCAGGTGAGTTTCCGTTCCAGTTCCGGTGAAAACATCAAGCTGGGTTGCTTCCATGGAGCTGAAAGAACCCATCGGTCTGATGGGTGAGAAACACCACGCCCAGGAGCTGGTCGGCCTGTGGGTCAATGGCGATCCCTTGCGTTCGGTTTGCTGCAATGGCGGCCGGGACGAAGGGTAGGTACGCGGATCGAACGAAGGGTCGGTTTGGCTGGGAGACATGTGGGAAGACATGGTGGGTGTGTCTATTTAATAGGGGGAGCTCCCAACCAATGGGTAGACTGGTCTATTTTCCGTTGATTTCCAACCCGGGAGGTCTCCCTGTTAGTAATACACACCGGTCCACTTTGGGAGCAGGACCGGACCCGACGTATTGCGAGCAGGACCGGACCCATGCGCCGCAGATCGTTGCCACGTGGGGTTAAACTGGTGATGAAGCTCCCAGGATGAATGAGTTTGGAATTCCCGTGTTTCATTCGCGGAATTCAATGAGTTTCGGACGAGGAATGAGGGCTGAATTCTGCACAATACTGTGAAGGAGGACGTACGCTGAGACCGAGACCTGCGTGGTAGCTGATCTTCTTTGCTGCTGACCACCTTCCCTGATAGGCTGTGACTGACCATGTTCCAGGGATCTACCACACCCAACTGCAGTCCTTTCCATTAGTTTCCCTGCATTGCAGCCTGGTTAAACCTCACCTCCATTTGTTCAACACAGTGATCAACCTCCCTGGTCGATGATGGTCAGGATTGCAACATCCTTGCGCAACTGTCTTTTTCTTAGGCACGAACAAGGACTAACAAGCACGGCAGGCACCCTGTGTTCCTGAGGTTCTTCTGTTTTTTGATCGAAAAAGACCCGCTTGATGAGTTGAGCACTACCTTTTGACGCCCATTTCGGCCACCGCCTTGGGATTGGGTGCAAATCGACTTTTGGGAATCCGCGGATGCTCTTTTTTCGGGGACAAAACCATCCGATAGGTTGGTCCTCCCTTCGTTGGTCACGTTGGCCAAAGGTTGGATAGAATACATGGGTCATCCAGCTCGGAAGATGCGGTGAAGGTCTTCATGTTTGAGACTTGTTAGAACAAGATGTGTTGAAGTCTTGTTCTTCCAAGAAACCAACATGTTTGTTGAAGTCCTCTTTCTTGGGGGGGTCGTTCACGCACGCAGGGGGGGATTCCAAAACACAAGAAAACGACTTCAGTCCACCTTTGGACGTGCAAAACCCAGCACAGAACGAAGTCCCCATGCACCGAGCTCCAGCTTCGTCGATCGCACCGGTTTTCACGGCGAATCCAAGACATCGGGTTTCGCAGCGAAGCTCGCAGCTTCCTGTTCTGCCGAGACATGGGTGGCATGGATCGGAAGAGGTTTTTCCTACTTTCAGCGGATGAGAGCAGCGGTGAACATCCCACAGCTGAAACGAAGACTGCTCGTGCGCGGCACGTGTTCACCATGGTTTTCTTTTTTTTTAAATTGCGGCTGCGTGTGTTCTCCCATCCGACCTCGTGGTGAACCGAACCCAGTTGCCGTGACTCTGAGCACCCAAGGCATGTTTGTGGAGGCTCAGAATTTCGGTTCTTTTGCGTCTGGTCCTCCCTTCGCTCAGCTTGTTCCTTGGCGACATTGCTTGGTTAACCAATGTCTGTATGTGTCTAGCTCCAGAGTGGAATACGCAGAATCTGAGCAGTTCTATTGATCTTTCTGTGGCCTGTACTTAAAGAAAAGTCCCACCAAAAGCGGATGTTCCGCCTAAATTGTCACTGCATGGTGACTTGCTGATTGCTTTGTTTATTTGCTTGGTCGCTTCAGATCGACTTTAGCCCGAACAGGCCGAAGGGTGATTTGCAGTCGACATTGATCGACCATTTTGACACGTGAAGAACAATTGTTTCTGCAGACATCAATCTTCAACTTTGCAGAAATCACTTGATCAACAGTTGTTACATAGGTTTGTTACTTTGCAGACATCAATCTTTCTGCAGACATCAATCTGCAGATGTAACAAACCTGCCGAAATCAATTGTCTCTCTTGGTTTCCACATCGAATTGGTCGTTCTTCGGTCTATTCTGAACTTGTTTCCGACACGCATACAGGGTATGTCAACCAAACACATTCTTGGCTGAGGTGCTGATAGCTCATCACTTTCAGATGAACCGTGTAAGTCAAAGACTCCGCATCAGGTCCACTTGGAATGTTTGTGATAAGTCCACCAAAGGTCTTGTCTTGGACCACTTCAACATTCTTCAACTGTTTTGTGGCCGCAGTCCAGCCGCAGTCCGCAGTGACTGCGTCATCACATCCACTTCCACTTCCACAAAGGCTCGGGTAACTCGATGGTTCGTGGATTACCCCACGGACTTTGAGACCATCAGGGGCACCCTCCCGCTCCTCGGCCAAGTCTACCGTTTGATCGGTTTTGGCAGTCCTGCCGACCAGTTTTGCAAGCTTGAAGGTTTCGATGGGAATCGACAGGGTGGCTGAGGGTCGCACTTTTCAAAGGTGAGGTCTTGGAACATTTGGAACTCTATGATTGTCGTGAGGTAATCCAGATATGTCCAGATGCGGTAGGCGGTGTTGGGGTATGAGGCAGAATTTGTTGTGAGGTAGTCCAGATATGTCCAAGGCAGTGGAAGTTCTGTGTCCTGTCGGAGAGGTGTTGTTCTCCACTCAGAGTGGGATAAATGAACGCACTCCGAACAGGCTATGTTGGTATTGACCATGATGTTTGCTTGGAAGAGAACCATATGTGCAGCTAGCAGCTCCTTGGGGAAACAAACCATATCTGGAACACCCATCCCTACAGATTCCGATCGCCTTCATCGCTTCCGGGTCCACCCCACCCATGTCCCGCGTCGCCGAATCTCGAGCATCGGATCGGGTTCGCCGCATCGGCAGGAAGTTGACCGGAAGTCCCGAGAAGCCAGCGTATGTGCCGACGGCGACGCACATGTTGCCCACCTTTAGCTGTTTCAACCTCATCCCAATGCTTGCGGCAGAGATGGCCGTCTATGGCGCGCGTCTTGGCATGAGTATTGGGGAACATCGGGGAGGGAAGGTAGGCAAGTGGGTGGATGAAGGAGGGCTACTTGGATGGCTTGGACCGCCAGGCCATCAGTCCACTATTTTTCGTTCGGTGCCATATCAGTGAGCTCTTTCCCCGATCGAGCCATGGATCGACGTTCCAAGCGACCACGGATCGATGTCGAAGCAACGGTTGCAACGTACCACCGGACGACCACCGGATGGTTCGACTTTTCCCGCTTTTCCCATATAGAAGAGATATAAGCGACCACGGCGTTGACCGGACGATGGTGAAGAGAGTATGTTCAGCTTTGAAGAGTTTGGCAAACACGTCCATCTCAAGTTGTGCCCTCATTCCCCTTTCTCACCCAGACTTTCTGAAGTCTTCTCATCTCACGTGGACAAATAAAGGTACCAGATGTTTGATGGGTCGCCACTTCGAAATGACTTGGGGTTGTCACTTCGCCCAGGTTGAAGCACACCAAGCAGATGGCGAGACATCCTCCCAAGCAGTACATCGCCGAATGCCGAGCGGAATGGGAGGCCCGCTTTCGGTTGGACGACGAGCCCCAAATCCTTCGAAGCCTCGTTCCACCAGAGAGCGATAGGGCCCTCGTCGTCTTTTTGTTGGATCCGTATAGCTTGAAACTTCACCCGGACAGCTGAGGGACGCCTATACCTGAGGTTCAGCGCCCAATTCAGGATCAGTCCCTCCATCCTTTCCTCATGCAGCACGTACCCTCATCTCACACACATCCTCCTTCCAGAATATCCAACGTATAACTGGCTGGAGCATGACAATGTTTGAAACCACAAATGTTCCCCAAGCCAAACATAGCCAGTCTTTGCGAAGCCACCTCTTGGGGTCGGGATGTTGGGATAAACTTAACAGACAGGCTATCCTGTGACAGCTCTGTGGGCCATTGCGGGGATTTGCAAGAAGTTCCTTCCCCATTTCTTCATGGCTGACCCATCGCATCGCCGGAATCGGATGTCTTCCCAGACGCCAGCAAATCAATTGAGCAGTCAGGCCTACATCAGGCAATGGAAGAAGGATGGGATGATTGATGACAGCAAGCCAGAACCGCCTCAGACTTGGAGATGAGGTTCTCACAGGTAGACCATTTTCTTGACGCGCAGATCTGTCATGATGTTCCCACTGTTTGCCATGATTGCGTGATGAGGGAATTCCAACATAACCTGAACCTCACTGGTGAAGAAAGAGTACTAGAAAGAGTGGGATGAACTATGAGAAAACCCGTCTCTATCCAGTTAGGTATCTGTGGATATCTGTGGTGGTCTTGCTGCTTCCTTCAGCTGGAGTCCCATCCATTCTTCCCATTCTTCCAGTTACCGATCTGCAGGGGCCTTCTGCTTAGTAGCTCCAGTCAGTGGACACACAGCCCGGTCAGTGACTGGGAAAGTGAGACTTGCACTGAAGAAATCACCCTTTCACCGGGCCTTAAAACCCTCTGACATCACGTGCCTTTCTACCTGTTGATGCTCTCCCACCTTGGTGTTCGGATGAAGTTCATCTGGTCTCCGGTGTGTCTGTGATGCGTTCTTTCTTCCAATTCGCCGCCGGTGTAGAAGTTGTGTGCCAGTGCAGATTCTGTCATGTGTTCTTTCATCTCACTGTTCATCCAATTCGCCAAAACGAACGGTGTCGTTCACCCACGTCGCTGTGTGGCTCGGCGACGTTCTTCGTGTGGCTCGGACTGAGGCCGTACCCGTACACCGAGACGATGGTTCAAGGTCGCTTGGTGGATGAGACGGTTGCTGATGGCGAAGGGTTGGGCCTAGCAGGTGTGGCGTTTGGCTGGCCGCTGAAACCTTTGAGATCTCGGGGGTGTGGGTTCTTAGCAGCCATGTAACATGGCTGCTCACACGCTAAAATAGCCCACAGAAAAAGGAACACTTGTGTTTCTGCCCATGTCTTCATCTTCAAATCAACTCACTTTGGCTTGGAAGGACTTAGATTCATGGAGCTTCACATGGACTTCATGGGCCAATCCTGAGGTCTGTGCACTCGCACCGAGGCTGGATCGACCGCACCAACATGGAGTGGATGCAGAAAGCCGCACGCCAGCAGCAGCGGTGCCTCGGCGAGTGGGTTTCGGCGAGTGGTTTCGGCTTCGGCTGAGGCCGGGCGGGTCAAATGGAGGTGGCTCAAGTTCTTTGAAGACCTACGACAGACTCGTGCGACTCGCATGAACCACCCATGTAACATGTAGATACCTCAGGATCCAGCCACCCCTTATTCCTTACTTCGTCGCACCAGTCAGACGATCTGGGCACATGACTGGTGCGATCCGGGAAGAAGAAAACATGGCACTGTCGGCATGAACCTTTGACGTGGACGGGACGTGGGTTTGCGAACGAAGTGCTGCTGGGGGGTTTTGCGAGGGTCATAAACGACTGCTGCTGGATGATCAGGATCCTCTCGCTATGTCTGATGGTCCAATGTGATACTCATGATACACCAGGTGTTCCACCGCCGTCCCGTCTTCCCAAAGCTGTGTGGCGCATGGATGCTGATCGCCCAACCTTTCAGGTTGACGAACTACTCCGAACACCAATCCCAAAAAGATAGGGCCGTTCACTCTAGGCTGACGCCACATGATTTGTCTCGTTGTGGGTGTAGTGGTGTTTGAGCATGAACTGGGAACTTGGGTCAAACTCAGAGTATGTATGCATATACTAGGGATTTACATATAGATGGCACAAGTAAAGGTACACCAATATGCCATCACCCATGAGGTGTAGGGAGGGTGAGTAGAACACAAAAACGGCACACCATGCGGAATACTTCCTGAATAACGTGTGCCCAGAACATATTCATGGCCTTTTAGGTGGCATATGCAGGCTATCTATTGAGAATTGGCAAGGGAAAAATACAATTAACATGGAAGAGAAATGAGGGACCAGGATAAATGTAGAGGAGCTAAAATGGCACATGAGAGGGGATGGGAAGGGAGACATGAAGGGGGGGAAGGGAGAGAGAAGGGGAAAGAAGAGAGAGCAGACTAACACGAAAGAAACTTCAGAAGGGAAGAAAGAGCAGAGCAAGGAAAAGAAAAGAACCTAAGAGACAAAGGAAAGAGGAAGAGAAAAGCAGGAAGCCGGAGAAGGGACCTCCTTTGGATGCTTATTGGAGAGGGAAGGGTAAGAAGGGGGAGAGGTGGGAGACCTGGGTGAATGGAGGAACACTAAGATGGCACATGCCAGATGATGAGAGGGGAGACTGGAAGGGGGGAGATAAGAGGGACCTCTATATGCACAGCGATGCCATTTGTAAGGAGCTGTTCTGAGCATTTGTACAGTAAAACCTTCCGGTGGTCGACTCCAGATACTATGGATCAGGCTTTTGAACAAACCTTGTACTGGTGGTGGCAGCAGTGAAGTGCATGGATTGGGAAAAGGCAGTGTTTTTGCATTGTTGTTCCTCTTTCAAGGTTTTCACGGTTTTCGAGGTTTGAAGTGTGTCAGATGCAATTTTTACCACCCTGTTTGCAAATGCAATCTTTTCGCTAATTCCTATATATTATATGGAACATATATACTCTCTATATTATACTATATATTATATTATATTGTATTACATTGCATTATATTATATTACATTATATTATGCTTATTCTATTTTATGTATATATACATATTATATGAATTTGTGTTGATATGCAGATGTCCTGTGTATCAACAAGATGCTTGCTGTTTGATTGGAGATTGAGATATCCTCAAGTAGGTTGACTGTGGCATGACCCAGACACATGAGTTTTCAGGCTTATGGCTGACGGACTATGGACTTGTGATGTTTGACATGCATTTCCATCACCCGGGCACGACATCACTGGGTACGCTTGTTTGTCCTCCTTCACCCATGAACATTCTGCACCGCATTCTTTGAAGTGAATTGTTGAAGGCCTTCGAGGTCACTTGGGGTCGCCTGCGGCAGGGCCAAAGCCGGTCCTTTCGGCAGCGAACTTCACGTCCGTGAGTCGGGCGTGCCGCCCAGGCTGGCCCAAGCGTGAGATGCACCGCAACCGCGACCGGTTCGCGGTGACGGCGCTGGCATGTCGCGTCGCTTCCGAAAAGTCCGTGCCGCTGCCGGGTGGTGAGATGGGCGGGTGGGTGGGTGGGTGGGTGGCCTTAGCACCGGAAGTGGGTGGTCTGAGCACGGCGTTCAGCTTGAGGTGTTGGTGATTGGGTTGCGTTGCTTCATTTTGGGCAACCCCGGGGTGTGGCAAAGCGTCTAAGTGTCTTTCAATTGGCAGCAAGTTGAGTGAACGGATGTACAAAGAGACAGGCCTAGCAATCTAGCCCCCAATAAACCCTCCAACATAGTGGTGTTCTTTGGCGATATTGTTATGAGGCAATGGTCAATGGTTTGAAACGAAATACTTCCAAACACGGATCGGTGCACAATCTCAACTGTTTCATGCCAATTTTCTCTTTGTTAAGGGGAACCTGGGAACTGATCTTACTCTGTGGTGTCTAAGAATTTTCAATGTCCAGAGTCTCCAGACCCACCAGCGCCTGATGGCCTGTCCACATGGTCTTTTCTTGTGTCGCAAACTGAGGAAATACATCTACATTTATGACTCGCAAGGCACAGAGTGCTGCTCTCAGATCATCTGACTCGCCATATTTCATGTCGCGCATACCAAACACCACGACTGGATTTTTTGGCGGATGGCAAGGGTTTGCTCCAAAGGCAATGGAATGTCGTTATTTGATGCCAAATGACTGGGTCTCACCGCATCATCGCGGCGCATGACTGAGGGATCCAGAGTTCATCGGGAAGCCACTTTTTTGCTTCAGTGAAGTCCCGAAACGAAGGGAACTGTCGCACCAGCCAAGATGTCGGAATCACAAGGAGAGCAAGGCAACTTGCCTTGGTTCAGAACCACAGCTACCGTCAGCTACCGTCAGCTACCGTTGTGTTCTAGGTCATTTCAGGATCACCTTGATTGCTATCTTCGGAAGTCAAGTCATATCTTGTGCAGCTCACAGCCAACATTGATCGCAACAATAAGCTGTAAGGTTTGTTGTTAAGGGATATCCCCTCTTGACAGCATCATCCCCCTAATGCAGGTCGTCAGCCAGGTCTTGACAAAATCTGACTGCTGTAGCTGACACTCTGTGCCACTCTGTTCATGGATGTCTTTGGCGTGCCTTTGGTGGCACCAACTTCGTCGTATCATCGACTTCTCTTGGATCCACCGGAAACCTTCGTCTCACATGCGGAGGAGCAGTTCAGGGATGGAGGACGGTTGAAGTATTCCAAACCTGATCGGTTTTAAGATGAGGAAGCCCCAAACCAAAGGGTTTACATGATACTCTTCTCCTTTTCCCAGTGGTTTGTCTCCCAATTTGACCGAACATCGACCTGTTTCGGACAAACAAATAGGAGCTTCTGCACGGCGGGGAGGATGTACCTGCTTTGGCTTCATGAAGAATGTTCTCAAGGTCTGTAGCAAGATGCACGAGCCATTTGCTCATCCCCTACACACACACACACATCTGGATCCAGAGATCTCTGGTTCCCAACTCTTGAACCGCCTTGAAGGAGACCACTATTGGACTGCCAAGAATGTGAGCTATTTCGACACATATGTGACAGAAGCTGCTTCCATGGGCACCAGGCGCCTCTACTTCTCCCTGATGCGGTTCTGCCGAGTCCTTGGTCATTGCAACAAGCGCTTCAAGCATGTGAGCGAGCAGTTGTGGACAGGACATACGCCTGCGGTGCCTTTACCCTGAAAAAGAAGTGGACATGACATTATACACCTATACATGTACATAGATCTTATGGTTGAAACCAATGAGTGTTAGTGTACGTCTAGGATTTGCCACTCAGTTCATTTACTCCCAGAGTCCAAGGCATGTTTCTTTTCAGTTGGCTTGCATGATGAGGCGAAGCTGTCGCAGAGCGCATTGGGCGTGTGCCTCCGCGGCATTCAAGCATTCAAAGTGCGGAAAAACTACTTCACGGAAAAACTTGCAGAAGATGCCTGGGGAATGATCACAGAAGCTCTGCAAAGCTACCAGAGCCACTTAAGGAGCATTGTGGACATTCTGCAGCAGAGGAAGGGATTCAATGTCGCTGTGTGGTTGCTTGTCTAGAATTGGTTTGGTATGTTGCAGAATCACAAGTGACTTCAGTGACTGAAGCTCACTGAAGAGTCCGGGCGTCTTCCTTCTGGGGCCGGGAAAATCCGCCATTTTTCTTTTAATCGAAAGGCTCCAGGCGTCCATCGCGGTCGCGGCGGCGCTGCGCGACTACGGCACCTCCGTCTTCGAAATGGCTCGTCTGCGGCAGATCTATCAGCTGCCACCGTGGCCGTGGGTCTTTCACGCTCGCCCAGGGACCATGAGATGGCATGTGCTTCAACAGCTGATCATTGATTACCACATGCCGAAGCCTCGAGTGGTTGAACTGGGTGTGGAGCGCGGCATTCTCAGTGAGGAGCTCTTGAAGGTGTGAGGGGAGCGAAAAAACAATTCCTGTGGTTCCTCCTCAATTCCTTCCGTTTTCGTAACACCGCTTTGCCTAATGGAGGCTTGCCAGCCAACCAGGTCGACGAGTCTCAGAAAGAGATGTCATGACATTTTGGGGGTACAATGATATTGCCTGTAGAGCCGTCGGGTTTCACAAGAACATCCCTATTTTGGAGAAAGGCCTGCAAGCTAACCAACATCCACTGTTACAGGGAATGGTATATACTCAATGTAATGAAGTTGGCTTGGAGCTTCAATGGCATTGTGAGTCACTGTGTCGGACCGACGCTGACGTGGTGGAACACCCGGACCAGCTCGCCACTATGAAGAACTGGTGTTTCACAGTGGTTCCAGGGGCAAAACTGGAGCTGGAAGGAACTGGTGGAAGGACACAAGACGGGCTGGAAGGAAGGTAAAGATGTCGGAAAGTGGAACTAGACAGAATCCATCTCCTGGACAAGGGGATGGACCCGCTTCTTGTACAGCGGACCGGGTATTTGGATTTCTGATAGGTGATGATGGTGGTGCAGGAGGTTCTCTGTGAACTATAGGGAATTGGAAATTTGACAAGGACTAGTAGATGCCTCCCATAATAATGACATTCCAAGTAGATGATATCCAGCAGCTGTTCAGAGGCAACAACTCAGACAGTCCTGGAGCTTGGTAACCATGAGAAAAAGGAGTACGGTCTACAGTACAGCATGGCTATATCTCAAGACCAGAGAACTCTCTAAGACAAAGCAACTCGAAACTCCAGACCATTTGTCCAGTAGGGACAGTATACATCAGTATACCCAGACCGAATGGTTGCAGAGTCCACAAGGATTTTACAGAAGCCCTAATAGAGTCGATCGTTGGATCAACGAATGATCACGCATCATCCAGGTGCCCACATTGAGTCTACTGGGTATTGATCCATACATTTACAACAATGAGTTCTACTCTTCGTCCCATCGATTTGATGCGCAACCTCACTATGATGCCGCAGCCCTGGTCCCTGGCGTCCGCGCGGACGCGCGCGCTGCGCGGCTGTATGTGGGGACTTCGCGAGAGGCGGCGGAAGATGACACGCTGAAAGGCGAATGGTCTTCGATTGATTTGTTGTTTATTGATGCTGACCACAAGATGATGTCAGTGCTGGAGGAGAGAAGATATGAGAATGGGACGCTGATAGGGATCTAGCATAACCTCAGATTTGGGTGATTTGTTTGCTTTTGAAGGGAGGTGGGGTCTTTTTCTAGCCAGTTTTTTTCAGGTAGTGAAGTGCAATGACAGCTATGAAATGCCAATGATCAGTTGCGGACTGTCTGTTGCGCCCCACTGCCGTTCCAGAAATACATCTTGGGGTACGGGCTATGAAATACCCGCACCCTTCACGTTGCAGCACCTCACCCGCGCTGCGGCCCGCGCCAGGACTTGAACCTGTGGTATTCTCGTGTGAGGCCGGGTGGCTTGATCGCCGGTCATGACTTTGCTGTAGCTCACGATGGTGTGCAGCGCGCAGTGATCCACTGGAAGCCCGTTGGTCGGGTGCTACATCTGAGCCACGATGATGTTTGGTGGTTCGAGAAGAGCGACGCAGACTTCAACCAAAGCCGTTCGAAGAGAAGACAAAAGGGAGCTGTTGGAAGAGACGTCACGAAAGCTGCAGTGGTGGTACAGCTCTTCCAAGTGGGATATTTCTAGCGGCCATCCCCCCAACTGTACAAGGCCATTTTGATCACCAAACATACACCATTTACCACCAATGAGCTCACCGGGCTCACCAAAGACAGATGGTTGTAAAGACAGATGGTTGGCTTCTACAACTGGCTTTTGATGGCGAAACAGTCTCTAAATCCAGAAACGAAGCAATTGGAAGGGCCGGGTAGATGTGCATTCTTCTTGCTCCTAGCTGAATGTTTGGAGCGCAACCTTTGCAACCAAGAGGGCAGATGTAGATCAGATGTTTGAATTGTTCAATGTATGTGTTTCATGGTGTACTAAGATACCTGAACGGTCTTCGTATGGATTGCAAACTTTGGCACATCACACCCGTTGGGTTCTCACCAAGTCAAGCAATTTCTTTACTACTCTACTCTGAGCGGGCTTTGGCTGGAAACTGTCTGACAGCTGTGGAGTGGGTTACCAGATGCGCCAAACCACCCTTGAAAACATCTGGTGTGGAAAGAAACTAGCATCGCAAGGTGGGTCCCATGGCTTGTTTACGCAAACATCAAATAATCAGCAAGCACTGTGTTTGGAAGAACATCATTAAGAACACACCGTAGAAATTACAGTAAGTCCTACTTCTTGATCTTGCGGGATCATTTACATGTGCTGATGCATTGTATTGAGTTTGTTGCTTGAATCATGTGCAGTCCACTGGTTGCTTTGTTCTTGGTCCTCAAGTCCAGGTCAGAATGGCTGCCAGTGGATCCAACATCAGAGGGTCTGAATACGGCACGTCCCTGCACGGTTTCCATTTAATGGTGCATGTGAAAATGGTTTCATCCATTTATATAGTTGAACTCGAACTCGCCAAGCACATACAGTAGCAAGTTGAATATGTTAAAATGTGTTTTGGGTCCGCTTCTCTTAGACTCTTGCAGGGACCTTTTTGGGGTATCAGAAGCATGTAAACAGAGATTAATTGTCAAGATTGCTGTGGCCGGTGGTTAGTCGCGCCACCAAACGTTTGCAGATTATATATACATATATATATATATATGGAGTCTTGCCAGTTCCATCACATGAACTATCATGAATCTTGTTTGGAACAAATGGAGTTTCGGCCCTGTCACCGCCCGTGTGTGGGGTGACTGGATGAAGGGCCAACCTGGGCACCGGGCCAAGGCTGCATTGCATCAAGCAGCAAAGGCTGGGCCCCTAGCTCGAAGACATCGCCCAAGTCTCGAGCGCTGTTGTGTGCCGATGTGCTGAAGACAGCTGCAAAAGAAGAATTGGAACTCCAAATCTACAAGAATTCTTTCCAGTAGGCTGGTTGCAAGATGTTGCAAGGGGAGGACATCCCAGTTTGGACATCCCACTTCGGAAGTCTTCCCCCCCCCGTCGCCGGCCGCAATCGGCATGTGCCTGCAGCACCGGGGTGAACCGTCACAGCAGCGGATCCGTTTCGTTGCGGCCACGCGGCAGCGCAACAGTGCCAGGGATCCTACCTTGTTGGACTTCCTTCCATACCACTTCCTCCTGGTCAGTGCAGGCGCGGATGGGATGTGTATATATGTATTACAGTGTCGAATGTCGGAGCTGGTTTTGGCGCAGTCTGGTGGAGTCCGAAGCTGGGACTTCTTTCGACCGATCTCGCAGAGCCAAACGCCGCTTCTTCGTTCGACCCTCAACCCCAATCCGACCGCGTCAACCGCTGTCACCCCGCGGCGTCGACGGCGTCGTTGTCTCCCGTGGACTAGGAGATCGAGGTGATCTCACCTGGCGCGACATCACCCATGGCACCGAGGCGCGGCGCGTGAGCTCGCCGCTCGCGCCCGTCGAGCACCGGGTCGGAGCGGCGACCGGGTCGGAGTGGCGCTCGGTTGGGGCGGGGCGAAAAGTGAAGTCGCTGCGTGAAAAGGCGGGATGGGGTGGGATTCTTCTCTTGCAGGTCTGCAGCGTACGTGAAAAGAGGTAGAAAACAGGAGCTGCACAGTGGCCAGCATTGAGGATGAGAGGGTGTCCTAAGTCTGTTTGAGCCTTTCCAGAGTTTGTGTAAATGTCCTGAAGAAGATTCTCCTATTGATCTGCCAGTCTACTGGGCTCGACCAGGTTCTCACAGGAACTCCAGCATCAACTCTGGATGGAGAGCAGAAGCTAAGAGATGCTAAGAGTACTTGAGTCTTAAAGTGCCAAAGGTTGTGGAGAAAAGCTTGGAGGAGAAGAGACAACTTGAAGTCTAGTGGTGTTTCCGCTGCTAAATCGTCAACTCTTGCGGAGCCCCAAACAGTCAAGTGTCAACAGTCGCTGTCGATCCGAATCATGGTCCAACCGTCCAGATCTCCAGCCACCAGTAGAGAGATGTAGCACACGTATGCAGCACAAATCGTCTTAATTTGCACCACTACAAAGCTGGATACTCCAAAGCATAGTGCTTGAAGATTTCCAAGCTAGTCTCTAACCTCTTGCATCTGTGGGGTCCTCCGACCTTGTTTACCTCGCTATACCTCGCTTGCACGGAGCTACTCTCTTTGTTCCTTCAATTGTTCAGCGGGGCGTCTTTCGCCAGGCTGCCAGACCGTCATAGAGTCCTTGTATTGCACGAGCCAGGTTTTGCAACATGCGAAGGTCCGCGAGGAAAATGAACCATACAAAGTCAAAAAAACAGACGGACGGACGGACGGACAGACCGACCGACCGACCGACGGACGGACCCACCAACCAACCAACCAACCAACCAACCAACCAACCCACCCACCAACCAACCAACCAACCAACCAACGAACTAGCTAACTAACTGACTGACTGACTGACTGACTGACAAACTAACTAACTAACTAACTAACGAATATGAGATATCCCCATGGATGGTATCCTCAACCCCCTTGTTCTACGCGTTCTTCCGTGCGTTTCGGTGTCTCAGGTGGCCGAGCATCGGACGAAGATGGGCCCGGCCACGCGGGGGTCCTCGTCGGGAGTCGATCGGTGACTGTCAAAGCGAGATGGAGCAGTTGGTCACGCGGTGTGAGGTCACGCAGTCTGGGCAGTCTGGGTCAGTTGTTTGGTTGCTCATATACCCTGTCTTTTTGTTCCCCCTTTACACTCCCTGAAAGAATGCATGGGAGATGATGTGGAGTGATGTGGAGTGATGGCATCACCTGACTGTTGGGTATTCGGAGGTCATGTTTATCGGGACTCGGGGCCATTCCATCCACTTCCAGGAATATTTCAGGGAGTGTCGAACGCTACATGATTTGAAGGTTGGGAGAAAGATGTTCCCCTGTCTCAATCTGTTCTTTTCCAGACAAAGTGTCGCTTCAAAAAATGACATAGACCTCTCAAAAAATAAAAACATACACTGTGGCTTGAAAGACCATCCGTTCGCAAATGGGTGCGCCCAGCGCGAAAAGCGTAGCGATGGAAGTCCACCCAGGTGCTTGCGGCAGAACCCCAAGAATGCCGTGATGCACTTGGGCCACGACAAGGCGCGAGTCATGGAGTCACGTCTGGGACAAACTGGGTGGCAAAGGCACCGGTGCGAACGTTTGGATCCATCTTAAGAGCCGGAGGATGCTAAACTGTATCATTTGAGACCGATACTTCTCTTCGGAAACTGCCTTAAAACACCCCGTGGGTATTTTGGGTTCGACTTCATGGACGCCAGTTCTCCGCACATCGTTCTTCAGCTAGATGCCGGGTTTTACACCATGTGGGTTCACAACTTACCCTCAAAAAAAGTGAAGGTCTCACAAGTTCGCGCCAACATGGTACATTTCTAGACTTCTCTTATGGTACATTTCCAGGACTCCCAGCTTTGTCTCCGGATTCGACACCGTCGTTGTCTCTCGGACCGGTCGTTGTCACCGACCGAGGGCAGCGTGACCTTGTGGACTCCGTCCGGCGCCCGACGATGGCGGTGGGGTCTGTTGGGTCTGGTGGGCGGTGGGGTTTTTCCGTCGGTTTTCGCGTTTGGAGCGGGAACATGGGGGTCTGCTCAGAGCCATCCGTCCATGCTGTTTCCGGTTTGATGAGGGGGGTAAAATGTGGTCAGGGCGCCTGATGAGTCGATTCGGCTATCTATGGTCGTCCATGGTAGACATGACATCCAATCATGGGGTGGAACCAGGGAAGATGAGGATTGGAAGTGACTGAATTCCCTTCGTTTTGTGCAGAGACCTACAATTCAGAAGTTGACAGTTTTTGACGTGCGTCGCAAGATGAATGCCCAACAAAGAAAGCACCTGAAATTCCAGCTGCGTGATGTGTGATGCTGTGTGTCATTTTTCCACGTTTTGGGGTTCAGGCGGAGACCTTTTTCCGTGACACCCCTTTCGGGCGTCCATGACAGTTCGTTGGACGCTGAAGTGGCAGTGTTTGCGAGCAAAGAACACACCCCTACCAGGCCTTGAGCTAGGACCAGCACGGAGGGTCGAGTGTTGGGCCGTTTTGGGCATTGGGATGACTGGATGGATGCTGAAGCCTAGATGGATAGATCACGTTGTGCCACTACCCAGTTCCTACCCTAATTAGATGAACCATCCATCAGGGTTGCCATCGTCTTAATCCAACCCATCAACGTAAATCACCCAAAGAATGGTAGATCATTGTCTGCCATTCTTAATATCACAAGTGTCACAAGATGAAGACTAGTCTTCCAGGTTCTCCCCGCAATTCCTCCATTCTTCATATATCTTCCATCCCATGCTGTTTTGGAGCGTCCGACCCCCGCATGGGAGCGCATTCGGACATCCGCCCACCCATGGGCATAAAAGGCGCATGTTGAAGCACTAAGGACCATTAAGGAGCCAGTGGTGAAGATGGCCTGTCACAACGCCAAGGTGGAGCAACCGCGAACACGCGTTTAAGCGTGCTTCCACGGGTCGTGCTCCACGGGTCGTGTCGACAAACTTCAACGTTCCTGAGCCAAATGCGAGGCTTTCAATTCGGAGGTTGTGAAGTTGTATTGCAAGTCCTAACAATGCTGCCGCAACCTGACAAAGTAAATAGAGCAGCCAGCCAGCCAGCCAGCCAGCCAGCCTGCCTGCCTGCCTGCCTGCCTGCCCGCCTGCCCGCCCGCCCGCCCGCCTGCCTGCCCGGACACTGTCAGGGGTGTTCCATGAGTGAAGTTGCATCAGCATGGGGCCAGTTCTAGTCGTGTGGCAACAATGCCAGCATCAATCTGTTTCAGTGTTGTGAGTAGTTTGTGGACATCGCAGGTGACTGCGCTGGCAGTGACTGGCAACTACATGGCAGGGAGCCTATCTTCAAACTTCAAACGAGCCTGAAATCCCTTGGCAAGAAGAGATGATCAGTCAAGTCAAGCCACGCCGTCTCAAAAAGTCTTAACATGTTTCGACTGACTGGCCTTTTTGAAAAGAAGTTCCTTCTACATGCACATCTTCCAACTCATTGGCCAAAAAGCTTGGTTGTTTTTTGTTGGAGATCTGGGTGTATCGAAGCGACAGACCCCGAACCAAGAGCACAAGACATTTGCAAAGGAAGGTGTGCAGCTGGTGGATCTTCCCTTGTTGGGTGCAAAGAGCCCCCTCGACTCTGGGGTGAGTTCACCCCAGGGAATGCTTGTTCCACAGTTCCACACAAAAATGGGATGGCGGAATTGCCTATCCCTCCGCAGAAAAGGACATCATCAGTCTAAGATCACGTGGTTTCTTCCGGTTGTCACCTTTCACATCCACTCTGGTGCATCATCCGACCGTTTCATCTACTAGGCTTCGTCCCCAGGGCTTCAGGTCAACTCATCGGGTCTGCTGAATTCAGTTCTCTTCGTGACCGAGAAGGTTCGGTCCCATGCAGTGTCATCACAGGTCATCACAGGTCTATATATACTCTCTCCAGAACTTACGAGGAAGTAGTTTTCCTATAATATTCCTCGTTTAGCATTCTACTGGAGGGTCTGCATGTTATATTTTTTGTGTAAGTGACCTCAAACCCGGAGGATGAAAATGGTCACTTTGAAGAGCAAGCTTCGGGAACATGTCCTCGTGTCTCCCACCGCTTCCATCGCTGCCGTCTCGGGGGTCATGAGGTCAGAGCCCGTTCTCTGGTGTCGCAGTCGCTTGGGCCGATCAGTCCCTGTCCCGAGACCTCGCAAGAGTAGGGTGGGGATCTAGAACTTTCCCTTTGAAGGGCACGGAGGGTACGCACGAGCTCGCTGGCACTGGCTTTTGAAACATCTCTTTGGATGGTTGACCTCTCCACGAGGTCACTGCTGGCGCAGAAGCAAAGTGGAAGGCTGGGGCGAAGGTCGAGAGTCAAGAGATCGGCAGATCGGCGTGGATGCGTGGATTTTCGCCTCACCAACTCCGGACCAGCGGGTTTTGGGAGGAGGAGATGACAAGCAGGTTCACCCTCAACACAAAGACAGGTGGCAGATGTCAGACGATTTCAGCAAAAACGCTGCTCCCCAAAGCCTCCCCACTTCTGTTCTTCTGAGGGTCCATACTCGATGCTTGGCCCACCCTTCTTTGGGATGTTTTTTGGCTCGTGCTTCACCTGCGCCTTCCCCGGCACCTACTTGGTGGACCCCAGACAGGAGTCCAACGCTCCACCGCGGTCCGCGCGACCGTCCGCGACCGTCCACGCGCGACCAGAGACTGGGTCGCGGCGGGTCGCGTCGGAGACTCTCGACCGAGGTTTGGGATCTGCGCACCTACAAGGAGCTTCACAGCTACTACAGGCAGTTCCATGAGTGTTTTTTTACCTATTATTATGCTTTTTGTCTGGTCCGGTTTTCCTGGGTCTTCCAGTGTCGAGTCTTGGAAGATCTGGCCCTTCACAAAAAAATAGAAGTATATCATGGCAGGTCAGTTTGTGTGCAATACACCCACAGAGCGATCTGCGGGGCCCGGTGACCCAAAACGGCGCCTTTCGGTGACCAAAACAACTTGGTAGGTAGGTTGATTGATTTGGGCTCAAAGCGTTTGTTGCTGCTGACAATCCTGACCATCCCAGAAGGTCTTTACATTTGGTTCACTCAAGACTCATCGGACCTGAGCGGAATGAGCCACCCAAATTCATGGTCTCCAACCAGAGGCATCACGATGAAAGGCAATCAGTCTTTGACCTCCCCAGAACAAAAGTGGAAAACCTTTAACCTTTGTTGAAGATTGGTTTCCCCGCTAAACAAGAACAGGTGGGCAAAGGTTAACCTTCTTTTCCAGGGAAACGACTCGGGAGGCAGTTAATGAGGTTTTTTTGCTGTTGCAATTCATCTCCCAAGACCACGAGGCGTGCGGACTTTGGGACACACTGAGCTTGCTCAGCTTACCATGAAGTCATCACAGCCCAGTGGTCCGACACCTGATCAACAACAACCAAGTCAGTGGCCCATTCAATCCACGCCTTTCTGAGCAGGGCCTGCGCTCCTGCGGGTTTTTGCGGCATCCAAAAACGCTCCTCCACATCCCGTGAGGCAGCACGGCCATGGTGTCAACAGCATGGATGTGCCAGTAGCTTAGCTTCCTCCTAGAGAGGCGGGTGTGTCCAACCCACATTCTACCAGTAAGCCCAACTTTCGCCCCGTTGGTGGAGTAGGGGATTTGATCCTTTTGGAGACCCCAAATTCTGGTGTTCAGCCGAAGTTCACCTGAGGCTTGACCAGATGAGTGGACCCATGGGTCTTCAATCAACAGGGCTACTCCGATTTTCCAGTAGCGGATTTATGTGGTGAACCTCAATGGACCCGTGCTTGAAGGTTCTTCCCAGAGATCTGATCCGAACTATTCACTGAGACATTGCTTCATCTCAGACGGACGAAACTGGGCCAATGATATCAATTCGATCTCCCCAAGTCTTTCAGAGAGTCTGAAAAACCACTGGACCCAGCCCCTCCCCCGTCCCACCAAAGCCCATCTAGCAAAGCAGTGATGCCGACAGCGACGTCGCGTGGACTGGCCACAACGACTGCCTCAAAACGATTTAGCTCGGCTCAAGGGCTGGCGACCCAAGGGTTACCCAAATTAACCAGGTTGGTTTAGTCAAATTTACCTCGGGTTGGTCTATTTGGTTCTTGATCTTGATCCAAACTCCCCGGCGCCAAGACCGAGCCAATGGGGCCCAAGTGGATGCCAACCCAATGGTTCCAGTCACTTCCGAAGATACCAAGACACACACCAAAGACCGTGAATAGAAGATGTTGACATGCACAATCATGCCAAAATAGAGGTCAAACACACACTTCGGAAGGAAGCTCGTAAGAGTGCAGTGAAGATCCAGAATGCGCACCGCACCGCACGGCACGGCACGGCATGGCACGGCACACGGCGCGGCGCACGGCACACGGCACGCGGCGCACGGCACACGGCACGCGGCACGCGGCACGGCGCACACACACACACACACACTCTTACTTGAGAGAGATGCTCATGAGCGACATTCAGAGTGGTTCTCGGTGAGCATTAGCACTTTACTTTCTAGTTTCTGCAATAACTAGATTAAAGCGCTCAAAGACCTGACACCTTTGACATGGCCCTGTGAAGAACGGCAAGGCGAAAAGTCCACCAAACAGATCGAAACCGTATTGTTTAAATCAGCTGGTGATCAGCCGTGATATCCTAGTTTACTGCATGGAGCTTTGTTGGCGACAGCCATGCAGCTGCTGATGCAGCACTTCGAATAGGTGCAAATAGTAGAGTAGTGGGAACGGGCACCGAGCCGAGTCGGTGCAGCTAGAGTAGTGCGACATCAAATAAAGACCTGAATAGCAACCTAACAAGCCTGTAGAAAAGAGAGAAAGTGAGAGAAGAGCAAAAGAAAAGAGGAGAGAGTAAAAGATCATTTGGTCTGCCAAGGTGGCAAACCTACAATGCACATGGACCCCTGTCGAAGAACCAGTCGAGCCTGGTAATAAGCTGCTGTCGGTGCACCTTGATTTACGACCTAACAAGCCTTTAGAAAGGAGAAAAGGTGAGAGAAGAGCAAAAGAAAAGAGGAAGGAGTAAAAGATCATCTGGTCTGCCCAAGTGGCAAATTATAGTGCAGATGGGACCGGGAACCCAGTCGAAGAACCAGTCAAGGCTGGTAAGAAGCTGCTGTCGGCACACCTTGACGTATAAGCGTATAACCTAACAAGCCCTTAGAAGTGAGAAAAAGTGAGAGAAGAGAAACAGACAAGAAAAGAGGAAAGAGTCAAAGATCATCATGACAGCGCAGATGGGACCGAGAACCCAGTCGAAGAACCAGTCGAGGCTGGGTACGAAGCCGCTGTAGGCGCACCTTGGTTTACTGTACAACCTAACACGCATATTGAAATGAGAGAAAAGAGCAAAAGGAAAAAGAACAGAGTAAAAAAATCATTTGGTCTGCCAAGGTGGCAAAGTATAAACAATTGGAAATTATTGAAGCAGTTGGAGCAAGAGCTAAGAGGTGACAATAATGATTTTTTGTGTGTGAAACTTGTTCAGGCATTGTTTACAGTAAGCCCTGCAGTGCGATTCAGAATGCAGGGCGGAACCATGAGCGCAAGATTCGAGCAAAAAGTTCAGGCACCCCGGACGGGGATCACACAACATACTGCAGTGGGAAGATGGCACACGGCGCGGCGCACACACACACACTTAGATTGATGCTCGCAAGAGCTGAATCAATTGTGAAGTGCCACTTTACACGCAATTAGACCTTTACACGCAGTTAGACATTGACTTGCATTAGCACTTTACAAGAGCTGAATCAGTTGGTGAAGTT